GACCCCAGAAATGCTGAGCAATCCAGGAGTTCATGTTCTACATGAAGGTACGGTCGCGGTGGTGATAGAAGCAGCCGAGAAGATCCCGAAACCTGACGAGTTCCAAGAATGCCTCGGTTTTCCATGGAGAACGACGATGGAGCGGACTCAAGACGACCGGTGGCAACTTCTGGAAGATGAGGTCCGATGGGAAGAGCTTCACCAACCAGAACGGGCCCTACCTCAACCGAAAGACCTTGTTGTGGTTTTCCGACGGCGGATCGATGGACGACCCGATCGGCATATGCAGAATTTTCCGGGAATGCAGCAGATCACTCTCGAGAGAATGGTTCGCCGAGCCCATGAAGGGCTAGGTCACCCTGAACTTCAACGGTTTCTTCGCATACTACGCCACAGCAAGGCCAACGAGGAGGTGATCGAGACAGCTAAGAAACTGAGATGTTCGGTGTGTGAGGCATACAAACTTCCGTCAGCGGTCCGACAAGGTGCACCACCTCGCGAAGAGCTCTTTATAAATGACCTGGTCGGCGTGGACACAATCCACCTGAGGAATCACCTCAACCAGCCAGTGCCAGCACTGAACATGATCGACTGGCACTCGCACTTCCAGCTGGTGGTTCCGATGGCGACAGAGAATGCTTCAGAAGCCCGCAAGGCTTATCGTCAATGGGTTCGATTTTTCGGGCCACCAAGGAAAATTATGCTGGACTTGGGATCCGAGTTCAAGGCTGAGTTCAAGCGACAGGCTGAAGCAGATGGCTCCGAGTCTGTTCCAGGTGCCTTGGAGGCCCCCAACCAACGAGGCCTGACTGAGAGAGCCGGTGGAGTCTTCAAGGACATCCTCAATAAAACGATGATGACCCATGGATGCAATTCCGAAGAAGAATGGAAGGAGCTCGTGGATGTGACCTGTATGACTCGGAACCGATTGCTTCTGAGAGCGGGCTACTCTCCAATCCAGCGGGTGATCGGCTACACTCCTCGACTACCTGGAGGACTTCTTTCTGGAACTGGTTTGGACGAAGGGGTGGCGAGCTTAACTCGCATTGGTGACCTCAGCACGTGCCGAGCTGAGAAGATGCGCAAGGCAGCGGCGATTGCGTTTCATGAGGCCGATTGTGACCAAGCTCTTCGAGCTGCCACGTTGGCAGGATCTCGAAAACATCAAAGTTATGAAGTGGGTCAGGCGGTCTACTTCTGGAGGCGAGGAGCTGGCACAACGAAAAAGGCCCGCCAATCCTACTGGGCAGGTCCTGGCCGGATCCTGATGACGTCTCTTCCGAACGCGGTTTGGATATCCCATCAAGGAACCCTGATCAAGGCTGCTCCAGAGAGAACCAGAGTGGCAACGGAAGAGGAGTCCCTGAGTTTGTCCGGATGGATGCGAGGAATTTCTCAAGCGCGGACGGCATTTGAGCGGAACCCGACCCGTAACTTCATCGACCTGACCAAGGATACGGAGGTGATCCCCGAGGAGACCGAGAATCAAGACGATGAATTGCCTCCTGAAGACGGGCCTCCAGGACTTCCACCGGTACGTCGGGTTCGTCAGAAGCGAGGCGATTATCCGGTTATTGAAAGGGAAGCAGAAGCCCCGGAGCCAAGCGAAGTTCCCCCGGAGCCGAGTCCGGGGCCCATTGTCGTTGATGAGAGCCGCCCAGAAAACAATCAGGCGGAGATGGAGTTGGATCCCGAAGAAGACAATGAACGCAGCGAGCGAAAACGCGAAGGTGAAGATCTTGAAGGACCAGAGGGAAAGAGAAGCCGACTACATCTCTTGGAAGTGTATCATATGAACCTTTCCAATTTGGCTAAACAGAGGCAGAAGAAGGAGGCAAAGGTCTACGACTTTGTTGGTAAAGACGCGGCCCGTTTGCAGAGAGCCATCCTCAAGGAGATCAACAACAACCTCCAAACCGGTGCCTACAAGATCCTCACTTTAGAAGAGTCCCGCCGTGTTCGTCAAGAAAAGCCGGAGAAGGTGATGGGTTCTAGATATGTTTTGACAAAGAAACCCTTAGAGCCGAGCGAAGTTCCCAAAGCCGAGTCCGAGGGCATTTTATTAGACGATGCGTCTCATGGTCCTGTCAAGGCGAAGGCCAGACATGTTATGCAAGGGTTCTCTGAGGAAGGTGCCCTGGACGTGGAGAGCGCAACTCCACAGGTGAACCGCGACTCCGTGATCTTCGTAGCGCAGGTGCTCGCAAGCATGGGTTGGGATCCTGGTTTCTTAGACTTCACCCAGGCTTTCCATTCGGGCGACCAGATCAACCGTGAACTATACTGTACCCAGCCTCAAGAAGGGATTCCAGGACTCCACCGCGAACAGCTTCTACGACTGCTAAAAACATGTTATGGTTTAACCGACGGTCCCTTCGCTTGGTATCAGCATCTCACCAAACGCCTGAAGAAGGATGGCTATGTGATGAGCCGAGCGGATCCTTGTGTTTTTCTTTTACATGAGCGAAATCCCGCAGGACAGCCGACGGCTTTGAAGGGGATCATCGGGATCGCGACGGATGATCTACTACATGGTGGTGACGAGGATCACTGGGCGAACATCAATGGCATTGCGGAGGACTACAAACTCGGCAAGAACCAAGTAGGAGAAGGCCGCTTCACAGGGAAGGACATTAAGAAGGAGAGTGACGGCTCCTTGACCATTTCCCAGAAGTTCTACGTCGAGGAAAAGATTGCGCAGATCAAGCTCAATCGGAAGCGCAAACAACAAAGGTATTCCCGATGTACCGCACCGGAAATTGAGGAGCTCAGGAACCGTCTTGGAATTCTTTCATGGCTGGCAAAGGAGACTCGCTGTGACCTCTCAGGCCGGGTTTCAATTCTACAACAGAGTTTCCCTGAACCTCGGGTTATGGACCTGGTGGAATGCAACAAGATCCGTGAGGAGGCCCTGAAGCATAAGGAGTTGGGCATCCGTGTCATGCCAGTTCCTTGGGATCGTCTCAGAGTGTCTGTGGTTACCGATGCTGCATGGGGAAACGCCAAGGATGGTCTTTGGATTGAAAATTCCGAAGAAGATTATTGGCAAGAGACAGAGAGCCATTGGATTCGCCATCATGTTCAAGGACGGCGAACGAGCTTCCATCCTGGGGCCGCTCAAGGCGGACCGGACCTTCATGATCTCACCGCGGACCGCCGGACCGAGATCCTGACTTACCAAGATCAAGCGATGAGGTCAGAAGTGGTTGAGGACCAATGGTGCGATGCTACAGGCATTCGGGTTCTTCAACAAGAGCCTTGGCGGGGACGCACCTACTTCAACAAGGCAGTGGAGAACGGTGTTCCAGCAAGCAAGATTCATTCTAGTCTTTCGCAGCTTCAGCAACTCCACAGCCAAGGAGGTCAGATCATTATTTACCATGACCAGTCGTTGTCTGAGGGCAGCGAGCCCTCGATGACGACGATTGCTGACTGGAAAAGTTTTCGGCTAAAGAGGAAAACAGTGGATACGCTGGCCGCAGAAGGACAAGCTCTGCAAGCCGGGATCGGTAGTGTCCACTGGCATCGGCTGATGTTTCTGGAAGCCTTTCATGGTATGATGTCTACCGAGCAATGGCGGGAGCAAGCTTGCAAGCTTCCGTTTATGGCAGCCGTAGATTCGAAGAGCCTCTACGATGCGACGAACAAGTGTACAAGTACTACGTCTTACATCAGTGACAAGAGGACGGCGATCGATATTTCAGTCATCAAGGCCGACCTTTTAGAGACCAGCGGAAAGATTCGTTGGATCGACACCAGGGCTATGTTAGCAGATCCGTTGACCAAGCCTCATCCGAGCCAGTATCTAAGATACGTGATGAAACATGGCTTTTGGTCCATAGTCGAAGATTACAAGGTGCTAAGGCAACCCCCTGGGGCAACCCCCTGAGGGCGTCAATAAAAGTTATGTGGCTTCAGAGGTGCGTATGTGTGTGACTTGGCGTCCTTCTACGCACCAGCCGCTTCATCTCTCAAAGGCTTTGATAATAAGGCACAGGTGCCCGCCAGATCCTCTCAATGAAGGTCGTTAAAGCTCAAACTCTCTCAGGGCGAACCCCCCAGATCCCGATTTTGGGAGGGGAAACACCCTCGGACACGTCCCCCTCAATGAAGCTCGATAAGCCTCGAAATCTCTCAAAACAGGTCCCTGGGATCCTTAAATTAAAGGGGGGAACCCCCTGGGGCACGGTTTTCTCAATGAAGCTCAATGAAGCTCGATAAAGCTCGAAATCTTTCAAAACCGCTCTAAACCACGCGCGGGTATTCCCTGCAGCTGACGCCCCCTCCCACGGCGGAGTCTACTTAGACAACACTTCTTGCACGCATTAAACTTGGTATGTGCCTACCCTAGCTGCTTTAATATATGGCTCCAGCGAGCTTCGATTCCACGCAGAACTTAGACGGAATGAGACTACTCGAATGCTCATGATGGCCTGGAATAGCTGAGAAGTGCTGAGCTGCGCTGAAGCCCTTTGGTGCCCATTGAAACTCATTGAGCACCATTGGTTTTCATTGAAGCTCTTTGGGCCTCGATGGGCCTCAATGGCTTTCAATGGGCCCCGATAGGGGTCATGCACTTCTCGAGGGGGTTCCCTGACAGGGTTCCCTTGGAAGCCTGTAAGAAGAAGGAACAGCGCTCCAGCAGAAAGCGCTGGAACGCGAGGGGGCACAATCTCACGAGACATTTCTTATGTTTTGGGAATTTAGAGTGTGACCGGTGTGTTTCTGTTGTTGCTTCCCAAAACATGCAGTCTCATGAGAGATCCGTGCAGCAGTGTTTCAAGCAAGTGATTGCCAACGGGGTTTGGCTCAAGCGGCCAACAGGGAGAAAAAGACATGTCCGAGTGATACCACTGTCGCACTCCGCGACACTAGGGTTTAGGGGTTCAGGGTTTAGGGTTTATGTTTTTTTGAGGATTTCCTAGGGTTTCAGGGCTTAAAGTTTAGGGCTCCGCGGTGCTACCCGCATCCGAAACTAGGTGTAGATCCTGCCGGGGGGCTTTTCGACCGTCTTCTTGAGATCGCTGACGTCAGCCTTTCGGAACTTGAAGCTCGGGTTTAGGGTTTAGGAGTTTAGAGTTCAGGGTTTAGGGTTGAGGCTTTAGGGTATGCGGCTTGGGTTCAGGGCGCTCGGCTGAGCTGCCCGTTCTAGGACTTGAGGGTATGGGGTTTCGGATTTAGTCTCCAGTTCTTGAGGGTTGTAGGATTGATTTCGGGGTGTTGGGTTTAGGGTCGGTGGTTGTGCTGGGCGCTGGTGGTGACTATAGGGCGCAGGACAATTCGAGGAGAGTATTGGGACACGGTCACCTAGGGAACTGAGGGGAAAATATTACTACTTACTCGAACCCCACAATAGTGCGTAGGGCCCTGAGGCATGACGATGATGCACACCAACGTTGGGACGACCAAGCGTAGCACTCGTCCTCAAAAGCCATTCCTGCTATCGTTGATACGGCGACAGTGATTCGTGTTGTGCGTACGTTGCGTACTGTGTTTGCTGTTTGAAACAGCCTGCGACATCACCCATGCACGCGTGCGAGCCAGCCAGTGAGTGAGCGGAGTAAGTGGAGTGAGTGGGGTGATACCTCTGCGGTCATTGCGTTAATTGCTGCATGGGCCGTGGGAGTCCAGCCGGTAGGGAAGAGAGGGCTGGGAGGGTGCACAGGGCCTGTGGGTCTCGGAATTCGGCCACCCAAAATCTAAACCTTCGAAGTTTCGCGGCAAGGTTTGGGAGGATAGGCCGGCCTAAACCCTAGAGGTCCTAGAGTCCTCGAAACGCAAGATAAAACCCAAAAATGACCTTTAAAGAGACCCTATTATGGAACCGTTAATACCCTTTAATAAAACCATATTGTAGAACCCAATAGTAAGAAAACACACCACCCAGACCCCAAAGGACTTGATCCAGCCCGGTCCGTTCCTGCAGCGACTTCTCCGCGACATCCGGTGGACCGCTGGTCTCCAAGACTTTGACTGGGCTCCTTCTTACGTTTAGGGTTTAGGGAGGATGATCAGACTACGGTTGATGATAAAAAATCCTGCATTACCTTAAGGACCCTAGACTGTGGGAATTATGGCATCTTCCTTATGACGGGAAATGCAGGATTTATATCATCAACCGTGTGTGTATTTCTAACCCCAAATGAGGGATGCGTAATAGGGATCCTATCAGGAATCCATAAACGGGGGTGTGAGGCTTAATCACAATTATGACCTTGGGTACTACGTCCCCTGATCCTCCAAGCCACAAGGGAATAATCAAGTACTCTCAAGAAACCTAACCTCAAACCGAGTACCTGATTTGTGGATCCTTTGGACCCTTGAGGTAGGGTTTAGGGGTCAAGGCTGAAGTGTTCAGGCTTTAGGGCTTAGGAAAAACCCTTTGGGGTTTGAGGCTTAGGGCTAAGGCTTGAGGACTCGGGTTCAAGTTTTGGGATGACGAACTGGAAGACTAAAAGTTTGCCCTGCATTTCACTACAAGTGGAGTTCTACCTTTCCCTAGCTCGCGAGAAGTCTGCTGGTGGCAGGACACCTCGAAGCCAAGCGGAGCGGCGTGCCCCATCTTCGAAGTGCCCACACTCGTAAACAGGCGTCGAACTCTTTTCGGTGACTGGTAATTAGCCTCATAGTAACTCTTTTTCTTCCCACAGGAACCTAAACCCTAAACCCTCGATCAATGCCATCTTCCTTGGGTCGAGTTCAGCCAAGAAGCGCGTCTGGCGTCAGGCTTGCCCGACGCGCTTGGCGGCCCTCCATGGCCCTCAGGATTTTCGGTGTTCGGGTGCGTCCGTCGATTAGTTATGGGTTTAGGGTTTTAGGGTTTTAGGGGTTTAGGGGTTTAGGGGTTTAGGGTTTAGGGTCTAGGGTTTAGTTATGGAGGTTTGAAGACTAGAAGTCTGCAGCATTCCAACACCGGCAATTGCCAGCGTAGCAGCTAGCTCACAGACTACACTATTATGAATCCAAAAAGCCCACCATACTTTGGCATGAGCATGACTAGCACCCTGGAACAGGAACCGCGCTGCGGTGACGAACCCAACTATCATGAATCATGCGGCAAGTTCCTTGCAACGGAAACGTAGCAACAGGGCCCTAATCCGTAAGCCCTAAGCCCTAAACACATTGCTTAGAACAGCCGCCCCACGCCGACTGTCCGAGCTTCAGCCTCCAGGCTTAGTTAATAGGGATTTCTTCTGAGTCTTCCGCCTCTATATTCCCGCAGTCATGCTCTTTGCTGCAGCTACAGAGGGCTCTTGTCCGTCAGGGTGCTGGTTCCTAAACCAAGGTGAAAACTAGTCCAGCGTCTGCAAGAAGGACGACAAATCTGAAACCTACGCCCCAAACTACAGTTCGGGGAGACTCAGTGACTAAGCCCGTCAACCCGTAAACACAAATCCGAAACTCGAAAGCCGAAACCCCTTAATCCTTAACCCAATATGTGTTGCTCCTACACCCTGAAGCCCAAGAACCAGTCTCATGACGCCCTACACCCTAAACCCTACAAGGTATACCTGGGCGTCCAGGGGTTCAGGCTTCTGGCTTCGGCCGCTAAAGTCATGAGTGGCAACAGTTCGTCGATATCCAAGGCGCTCAATAAAGCTTCCCCAGATGCCTCTGCAAGCGCTGAGAGAGAGCTTTCTGCGCATTGTTCCATGCCGACCCTTCGCCCTTCAGTCCGTTTCATATGGCCACTGTAGCCACCCGCAGGCCCAGTTCAGCCACACAAACATCCCGTCCAATCTTCGACCCTGCCCGTGCACCACATGATCATGCTCACCTCCAAACTGTAACCACCAAATGCACAAGACAACGAAGAAAAAGCAGAATACGCAGTACATCACAAGACATACGCTCTAGGCGCAAGCTCTACTCCACTACCGTTATGTGCAGCACCCCGTCTTGGGTCAGTTGGCTTCAAAGCTCTGGGCTCAAAATGATTGTCAACCCAGGTCTTCACAACATGTGCGGGTAGTTCTCGAATGTACCTATAGTCTCCATTGTAGTTCCTTTTGTTGGTTTAACCAACTGTATAGTTAGGATCCTATAAGGTAACCCCAAAAAGGAACTACAATGGAGACTACGGGTAGCATCCCAAATTAGGGCCCTTTTCTAGAGTCCTTTTCTGTAACGCTATTGCAGTATCTGTGGGATGTGAAAAGTTTACCTCGACGTATCCACGGCAATGATGGTGGAATCATAATGATCGTCGCCGAATCATGGCTCGCCATGTAGTATAGTGAACCCCAGAAAGTTGGAACCTTGATTAGGGATGATTCTTGCTGGGATTCCCTTTTCTTTGCTTTAAGGGCACGAGGATGATGATGTTCCAACTTTCTGGCTTCTACTATAACGGAGATAATCGTACTAAGGGTTACAAGTGCTTCTCCGAGACCCCCATCTCGCCGCTAGAAATGCGAATCTGCATACTGGCAACACGAATAAAGGGGCCGTATGATGATTCGAATAATTAGGGTTTTGGGGCCCTTGTTACTGTAAATATAGTAAGGAACCCCCAGATCAGTATAGGCAATGATTTAGGCCCCTATAGCAGTTCATCAGGTGATGCTCTCAGCAGGACAACTACGCACCAACAGCAACGACATCTCAGAAACGATGATAGGAATGTTGTTGAGACAGACTGCAGTGTTTGTAGGGACACTTATGGGAAACAACAGCAATAAAAAGCATCATGCTCCCATGGTGTGCCTTTCTTCTCGTCAAGGTTTGCACTGGAGGTCGCGCGATCGAGAAGCTGCGCCTGTCCATACCAGACAAGACAAAGCAAGGCAAAACCAGACAATATATACCTAGCTCGCTAGACATACAAGTTTCCAGATTGACGAATGCATCCCATGCCTTGCGATCAAGCATCCCGAAGATACATGTAAGTGGGAGGGCCGGAAGCAGATCATCCGTCACCACGAACGGCATGAACACGCTGCGAGGTGATACTAACAACTGCAAGCGCAGCGCTCACACTTATACAACTGTTGTCAGGCACAGTCGATCTGTAAGCGTGATGGGCCACAACATTCATACATCGCATCATAATCGCAACAACAGCTTAGATGAACCAGAACCATGTAGCAATGGCTGTCATTGTCGACATGCGCATCAAGCCCGGCTAGGTTTCCGATCATAGTAAAAAACCAGTCAGTTACAAATATTATTACATGCTGATGACAAGACACGAACTGTAAGACCAGAAGCTTTTGAAACCCTCATCAATGTTTACAAGCAATCCAGAACCGCACGCAACTCAATAACACACTGCATCAATCAGATCCTTCCGCATACAGCCGAGGCTCCGCACACATGTGTAACTGATTGCTTGGCCTTAATCCCGAAGCCCTTAACCCTAAAAACCCTAAACCTAAACCCTAAACCCTAAACCCTTAAAGCCCAAACCCCAAAAGCCCCAAGCACCGATCCCTTGATTACCGGACCTTGTGCTTGTTTGTTTGAACGCTGCCATCGTCGAACCTTGGCTTTGCCACGCTTAGAGCATCAGGGGACTCAGGCAAATAGTAACTAGCATCGCTAAAAACAGAACCATTAAGCATGAATAGCAAAAATAAGCAGTAGCATAACACTAACAATAACAGGAATAATGAAAACAATAGAACAGAAGACATATTAGTACTTGCTACTAACAAGAAAATGATACTAGTAGACATAAAAAGTAAAGCTACATGATTCATAATAACCCTAGCTACTTGGCCCCATGATCCTTTAAGAGATGAAGCTCCCGCGGAGGTCGCTGGTCGTCGGGTGTTTATGGGGGGCTTAGGTTTAGGGGAATGGTTGTTAGGGGTTGGGGTTTTTTTTTAATGTGTAGTGACTTTTCCGTCTGCCTGCAGGTCGGCTTACAGGGGGTTGGGGTTTAGGGTTTAGGGTTTAGGGGTTAGTGGTTAGGGGCTTTGTTGCCTAGTGTGTCTCGGGCTCGGGGGTTTATACGTGTTGCAGGCTTGGAGTCGAGAGTGGAGACATATGCTGGAAGGGTTCACGGCTTTTTATGCTTGGGAGCTTGTTGGTGCAGGGTTCTCCGGTCCGGGCCGTTTGAAAAGCTACTTGTGTCCTGAGAATTGAAGGATTTTGGACGGTGCGTTACGGGACTTTGTTTCAGGTACGAGCAAAACAAACCCCTTTATGGGAACTTAAACCACTTGCAGGATCAGGGGACTTCGTAAGTAAGGTTATAAGTACCCTAATTGGGGTTTTAAGTAGCTGTAAGTATAGTTACCTTATTAATAACCCTAGCTACTAAGTCCCATGATCCTTCTAGTAAAGGGTTTAGGTTTGGTTCCGGGTCGTGGCCATGCCATTATCCGGAATAGAGCCCTTCACCAAAACAGTGGAGAAAGAGCGATGCCTAATTAAGTCCCTTTCCAAAACTACATCCTAAACCCTGACCCCAAAGCCTTCAACGATGACCCTAAAGCCCGAAATCCTGAATTGACTTTGCTTGTGCCAAGCCACTGGTGCTCCCAGAGGTCCAGTCCGATCCTAAGAGAAAATCCCGAATGCATAATATAGGGGCCTAAATAATTAACTATACTATTTAGGGGGTTCCTTATTATATTTATAGATGCATAATATAGGGGCCTAAATACTTAACTATACTATTTAGGGGGTTCCTTAATATACTTATAGCATAAGGGACCCCAAAGCCCTATTCTAATCATTAAGGGCCCTATATTAGCAGCCTTTTGCGAACGCGTCCCCTATCAGCTTCTGTAGAGGATGCACAAAACATGTCTATGTACATGGGTTGTTGCCAAGATTGAGGTCCCCTTTGGGGTGCCCGAAACAGCAGGTGCCGTATTACAATAGGGAACCAAAAAGGGACTATAATTTTGCCAACTACCCACATATATGTGTGAGGGTCCTAGCTACGATGCTGTCGCAGCAGTGAGAAGTTAGGCAAAAAGTCGAAACATAAGAGGTCGAAAACGTACACAGAAGAAAAAGGACGCTGAACTGATGAGCAACACAGCATTGTCAGCAACAACACAGGTGGCAGCGAGAGTGGCACATCCAAGAATAGTTCTGAGACTGACACAAGGAAACGACAAAGCAACAAACACTGGTCGCGCCTCTCATGGCCATCACGAGTAGTAGTAGTAGTAGTCGTCGTCGTCGCCGCCGCCGCCGTCGTAGTAGTAGTAGTAGTGGTAGTAGTAGTAGCAGCAGTAGTAGCAGTAGTAGTAGTAGTAGTAGTAGTAGTAGTAGCCGGCCACACATAGTTCCTACATGTGTGCTGCTTCGAGCGGCTGGTGATATATTCATTATGGCCATTTCAGGAAGCTGCGTACTCAGTCAAAGCAGAAGGTCAATACGACTGGCTATGAAATGGCGCTTACAACGAGACGAGGACCGAGAAGTATTTGCGGTGCTAAATGCACTCTGAACACTTCTGCCACCAAACGTAACATTCAACATAACAATCAATACACATGACATGAGAGCAAGAATGCAGGAGACAACGATGATGAATGTAATGATACCTAAGACTGACCCTAAACCCTAAAACTGCCAGCAATAACGGTGAGAACAAAGCCCCAAACCCTAAACGTCGGGCCCAAACTCTGAAACGGAAGCGCTGTCCCTAAACCCCAAAAGCCTTACAGCACACCCCTGCAGCTCCACACCTAAACACTACATACTACAAACCCTAAATCCCAAACCGACAAACCAAAGCAAACATCACGCAAAACCCTAAACTCTCAAACCCATAAACCTTAAACCCCTTAAACCACTAAACCCCTTAAACCCCCAAACCCCTAAACCCAGAACCCGAACTCCAAACCCCTAAACCCCTAAACCGCGAAACCCCAAACCCCGAAACCCTGAAACCCCTAAACCCTGAAACACCTAAACCCTAAACCCCTAAAGCCCTAAACCCTATACAGACTCCTTAACGGATTAAAGGAGCCCTTATCACGGAACCCCAGGAAACTCACGGTTCGGTGAGCTCTTTGCCAGGGCGCAGCTCACAGGCTCGGGTGCACCGAAAGCCGGAGATCAATTCTATAAGCCTCAAAGTCCAGGGTTTAGGGGCTTAGGGTCCGGGGTTTAGGGGTTTACTTGGAGGGGCAGGGGACTTAGTAAGTAGGATATAAGTAGAGTTATAAGTACCCTAAATGGAGTTACCCCAATTATAACCCTGCTTATAAGCCTCAGAGACCAGGGTTTAGGGGCTTTGGGTCCCAGAGTTTAGGGGTTTAGGGTCTAGGGTTCAGAGGTTTAGGGTTTAGGGGCTTAGGGTCCAGGGTTTACGGGTTTAGGGTCTAGGGTTCAGAAGCTTAGGGTATAGGGGTTAGGGTCTAGAGGTTTAGGGGTTTAGGGGTTTGGAGGGTTAGGGGTTTAAGGGTTCTGCTGCCATTGTGTGGGGCCGTCGGGGGGAGGATTCGGAGTTCAAGGCTTTCGCGGTGTCGGCTTTTTGCGATTTGGGAGTTTCCGAAAATTAGGGGTAATTACCTTATTTTGGGTCCTTTTAATAAGGATCCTACTATTTAAGGTACTATAGTAGGGTCCCCTATTTTCGGAAAATCCCATTTAGGGTTCGGGGCGTTTGGGTTTAGGGGCTTGAGGGTCGGGCTTCTGCGCTTTGTGGAAAAAGGTTTAGGGCTTTCGGGGTTCAGGAGTTAGGGCTGAAGGTGTTCATCGTGGGGACCCTTTGGAGGGGTAGAGGGAGGGTGGGGTAGGGGGCTCTCAATGCCCATAATAAGGACCTAGCGAGGCCTATTGAAGCAAGTATAGTCCCCTACACCCTTCGCCCCCACCCCCTAAGGGTCCCTGTGAGTGTTCAGGGCTTCAGGATTTCGAGGCTTTTTCATTTGGGGCTTGTGAGCTTTGGTGTTTATGGCTCAGGATTTAGGGTGTTCTTCGAGTCCGAGGTATAGTGCTTGAGGTTTGAAGGTGCGAGTGCAAAGTCTGGGATGGACTCTTCGTGATTTACGGCTGTTGTGTTCTGGGGCTTTGTATGGAATACGTAAGAGGGGGCGATCCAAAGGGATGAACCTTAGGAATTCCCAAGTCTTCCCGAATATCGCTATAAGTTCCCTAACGTTTCCCAAACCCGAAAACCTAAACCCCAAGCCTATTCAAGGTTCGAGATGTGCGGTTAGCTGTTGATCACAGAGCTCCGGGGTCTGCCTTGAAGTGCTATGCACGAGAGTTTAGGGTTTAGGCTTTAAGGTTTGGGGTTTAAGGTTTGCTTAGGGTTTAAGGTTTGGGGTTTAGAGCTTGAGAGCCTTGGAGATTTAAGGTTTAGTTTGGGTTTAGGGTTTGGGAAACCCTAAACCCTAAACCCTTTGGGGTTAGGGCTTGAGAACCAGGAAAGCTTCTGGGAGCTTGCCGAGGCGCAGCACGGAGATGTAGGTAATGCCCACGGAGATCCCTGAAAGAAGAAACCTCGGTTTTTCAAATGTTTAGGACTAGACCCAAGAGTAACCTAGGAACAAAAATGGTGCCTTTTTGATTACAAAGGGGATAAGGAAACTTGAACCCTTAAAAAGGGAACACAGGCCTACTCTAGGTCCTAGAGGGGTTTAGGGTTTAGGGTCAGATTTTTAGGACGAAACAGCTTCCGCTGTATAGCATATGGCATAAGGGCCCAGCAGATGCATTGTTGCAGCAGTAGTAATCGTCGCTAGTCGTAGTAGTCGCTGTCGTCGAATGAAGTAAGCGATGTTGTCATCTACCAGAACCTGAAGCATAATAAACGCAAGTACAACAGTCACTACACAAAGGCCCCAAAGTAGTTCCTTTTTGGGGTTCGTATATAGGATCCTGTAAGGTAATCCCAAAAAGGAACTACTATGGGGCATCTGGGTATAGCAGTATGAACCATGGGACGCAAGGTCTCTCGGGTTGCAGCTCGAGCCGTCGAGCCGAGGGAAGACGACATAGCAACTTCTGCAGTGATCCTTCGCCCTCCTCCCCTAGCCAGAACTCTATATGGGTGGTTCTCAAAAAATTATGGTCCCTTTTTGGGTACCCTACATATAGGGTGCCGTACTATCATAGGGACCCAAACAAGGACCACAATTTTGACAACCACCCATATCGGAGTTTGAAACCACCAGAAGTACAACTCACTCCACACCGTAAGGAAAGCTAGTATGGATCCTAGGAAGCAGGATCCATCCTGCTGGCAGGCCTGGGGGGGCAGGGATCAAAAAAAAATTAGATAAGGATCAAAAAATTGAAGCACCAGGATCAAAAAAAAAAATATCAAAAAAATAAATCATGCAAAATACAGCAATTCCTGGGGCAGAGGCATCAAGCAAAAATTAAAATAAGGATCAACAATTTTCCAAGGGAAAACAATATTTTCCTATGGATTTTCTTTCATTTCCTTAGGATCTGACTGGATTTTCCTCTGGAAGACACGATTTTCCTACGGATTCCGTTGTCTTTTCCAAGTTTTCCTTGTTTTTCCATTATTTTCTATTACCTATGGCATTCGTGTCATTTCTTCAGGTTTTCAGAAGGAAAACATACGTTATCTTTGGTTGTTCCTCGGGAAAATCAGATTTTCGTTACAATTTCGCATTTAGGACGGATTTCGTCTTGTAGCTGTTGCTGGTATTCCGCTTCATCACCTATCTTAAACACACCCCCTCATTTGGCGATTCTGGTTCAGCGGGGGGGTTGGGGGGGGGCGCAGCCCCCCCCCCAATTTGCAGACACAACGCTCACATGATGGGCTTCGAAAACACTCTTTGAATCAAGCTTGCACGGCTCGAAAAGCGCGGCGGTGGGTCTTTCGTTCTTCCGTGCCTGTTCGTGTCTCTTCTTCCGTTAGCACTCTAACATAATATAACATAGTAAACCATAAGAACGACATAAGATGGTTCGGCATCACAAAAATAGTGTGACATATTCTGACATAACAGAACCTTGCTTCTTATAGCATAGAATAGCATAATAAAGACGACAACACAATATATCGGAAGATAACATAAAACAAAACAACATCTTAGTTCATGGTGTAGTACGTTGTAACATAGTACAATATAGTTTGTATATATACACAACATAATATTTAGTATATTATATAACATCAGGTTACATTATGTTTTGTTATGTTATGGTACATTACGATATGATGGCATATTCGATTGGACTATGTCATGTAGTATCCTATTGCTTGTATCTATGTTTCTGTGAATCTTTCATGTTCTTTCTCTTTCGTATTTTCCAACTTTGCTTGTTTATTCTGGATGTCTTTCCTTCTTTCGCTCGTTCATTTCTTTTATTTCTTTCTGTTGTTCTTTCTTTATTCATATCATACTCCCTTCCTTCCTTTCTTTCTTGCTTTCTTTCTTTTTTCATTTATTTCGTTCTTTCTTTCGTTCGTTCTTTCTTTCGTTCTTGCTTTCGTTCGTTCTTTCGTTGTCGCTTTCGTTCTTTCGTTCTCTCTCTCGTTCTTTCTTTCGTACAGCAATTCTTGAATTTTTCCAAGGGAAAACACTGTTTTCCTACGGATTCTCTTTCATTTCCTGAGGATCTGACTGGTTTTTCCTCTGGAAGACACGGTTTTCCTACGGATTCCGTTGTCTTTTCCAAGTTTTCCTTGTTTTTCCTAGGAAACACACTATTTTTTTATTACCTATGGCGTTCGTGTCATTTCTTCAGGTTTTCAGAAGGAAAACATACGTTATCTTTGGTTGTTCCTCGGGAAAATCAGATTTTCGTTACAATTTCGCATTTAGGACGGATTTCGTCTTGTAGCTGTTGCTGGTATTCCGCTTCATCACCTATCTTAAACACACCCCCTCATTTGGCGATTCTGGTTCAGCGGGGGGGTTGGGGGGGGCCCCCCCCCCCATTTGCAGACACAACGCTCACATGATGGGCTTCGAAAACACTCTTTGAATCAAGCTTGCACGGCTCGAAAAGCGCGGCGGTGGGTCTTTCGTTCTTCCGTGCCTGTTCGTGTCTCTTCTTCCGTTAGCACTCTAACACAATATAACATAGTAAACCATAAGAACGACATAAGATGGTTCGGCATCACAAAAATCGTGTGACATATTCTGACATAACAGAACCTTGCTTCTTATAGCATAGAATAACACAATAAAAGACGACAATACAATATAACAGAAGATAACATAGAACAAAACAACATCTTAGTTAATTTATGTCCTTTCGTGTTTCTTTATTTATCTATTTTTGTTCTTTCGTTATGTTTTTATTGTTTGTTTTTCTTTGTTTCTAACTCTCTTTCGTCCTTTCCTTGTGATTTCTTTTTTATTTCCTTATAGCTTTCTTTATTTATCTATTTCTTTGCCTTTGTTTTCTTTCTTTCCTTATAGCGTTCTTTATGTATTCCTTTGTTTATTGCTTTCTTGCTTTGTTTCGTTCTTTCTTTATTTCTGTCATTATTTCGTTATTTCTTTCTTTCTGTCTTTGTTTCTTTCTTTCTCTCTCTCTCTCTCTCTCTCTCTGTCTTTCTTTCTTTCTGTCGTTCTTTCTTTCTTTCTGTCTTTCGATCTTTCTTTCTCTCTCTTTCTCTCTGTCTTTCTTTCTTTCTTTCTTTCTTTCTTTCTTTCTTTCTTTCTTTCTCTCTCTCTCTCTCTCTCTCTCTGTCTGTCTGTCTGTCTGTCTGTCTGTCTGTCTGTCTGTCTGTCTGTCTTTCCTCCGTTACCCCCCCCCCACCCCCTCCTTTCGTGGATACCTGTGTAATTTTTTTGATCCTTATTTATTTTTTTGATCTTTATTTAATATTCAATATTTTTTGATCCTTATATATTTTGTTTTTTTAACCCCTGTCCCGCCTGCAACCCTAAACCCTAAACCCTTAAACCCTAAACCCCTCAACCCTAAACCCTAAACCCCTAAACCCTAAACCCTAAACCCCTAAACCCCAAAATCCCTAAACCCCTAAACCCCTAAACCCTAAACCCTAAACCCCTAAACCCCAAAATCCCTAAACCCCTAAACCCCTAAACCCTAAACCCCTAAACCCTAAAGCAACAAGCAACTGAGTTTAGCAGCACGGAAAAGCAGACCAGAGTCTCGTAGGTCGGTCTGACATAAACCTTGAAACCCTCGTCTTTCGAGCTGGGGCCTACTTGGAGGATCAGGGGACTTAGTAAGTAAGGTTATAAGTACCCCAATTGGGGTTATAAGTATAGTTACCTTATTTATAACCCTAGTTACTAAGTCTCATGATCCTTTAAGTAGGACTGGGAAGCATTCGACTTTAAGGCTTGAGCGTAAGGAGTAACATATCAAGCAAAGGAACAGAAGATGGCGCAATGAGGTACCATGCCTACTACTTCGGTACATGCCGTGAGATATAGCGTAGCCCCCAAACCCTAAACCCTAAACGCTAAATCCCAAACTCTAAACCCCAAACCCTGCTTTTCAGGGCGAGCCGCATGCCGATAAACTGATTTCCCAACAAAGTCCACCCGGCCTCCCCGCCGCCTGGGCTCAGGAGGGTTAAGGATTTAGGTTTAGGCTCCGGCTTCTTTCTGAAGTAAGCAAGCCGACTTACGTAGGGGCCTTATAAGCTTGATGATTAGAATAAGGTTTTGGCATATAGTATTCTTATAGCTCGAATTTGGAACTTGATTCTGACTATTCTGGCACTTATACTCAGATATGAGGTTCTCGAGAAAATCCTCAGTCCCAAGCCATTAGGGTTTAGGGTTTAGGGTTTAGGGCTTCCAATCCTACACCCCGACACCTGATGACTTCGAGAAACCCTATCTCGAAAGCCAAGCAACCCAAAATAGTTTGGGCTTCAGGTTTCCGGTTTGGTTATTTGACATACTTGAAGGGGCAGGGGACTTAGTAAGTAGGAGAAAAGTAGAGTCATAAGTACCCCAAATGGATTTACCCCAATTATAACCCTACTTATAACCTACTTACTAAGTCCCCTGCCCCTCCAAGTACCTCAAGAGCCTGGTTATCCCAAGTAATGGGCTACTTAAGCCCACCGTACTATAACCTTAGGGGAAAGTAGACCATAATTATTGGCTCCTAGCGCGGAAAGCTCTGAGCTGTAAAGGCCCAAAACCCACAGCCCCGAAGCCCTAATCCTCCAGAACCCTAAAACCCTAAACCCTAAAACCCTATACCCAAAACCCTACACCCAGAGGTTGGTTCGGGATTTTCTGGCTCGGTTTCAAGGGGTGTTCAGAAAAAGGAATCCAGACCTTCTGAACTTTGGGGTTTTTGGTTTGTGGTTTAGGGTTATTCTTGAGGGTTTGGGAACTTTTTCGGATTAGGATTGGTTGAAGGTTGAGGTTTGTTGAGGGTTTTGGGTTTGAAGTTGCGGAGTTTCGCTGGATTTCGGATCAGGCTAATTAGGGAGAAAGTCTAAGCTACCACAATCTTCATGGCTTCCTCGGGTTTCGGGTTCAGGGCTTTGACGAGCACGGGAAATGGGATAGCGCTAGGGCAGACCAAGATTACTCCCGCAACAAAAGATCCCCGCTCGAAAAAGAGACCTGCAATCTTGAACCCGAAAATCCCTTGCCGCTATAACCCCCTAAACCCTAAACCCTGAACCCTAGAACCCTTAAAACCCGCACGGTGTCAAACCCTGAGTCGGAGAATCCTGAAACAGATCCTCCTCAAACTCATAAGTAATAAGGCCTTGTTAAGGAAGTATAGTCTCCCCCTACGCCCCTCCACCCTGCGTACCCCCCGGCCCAAGAATTCCCTATGACAAACTCATGCCAGCGTGCCGAAAAAAATCCCGGCGACGTCCGGGTTCACGCAGTTTTTCTGGGCAAACAATGCAACAGCTATGGCTCCCCAAGCCTGACAGCAGGGACTCTTACAGGGCTCCTTAAGAGTTTAGGGCGTTTAGGGTTTAGGGTTAAAGGGATCAGCATGGACTCGGTCTGGACGGCTGAGAGTTGGGTACTGCCCCCCATACAGTAACAGCCTAAAATAGGGCTACTATTAAGGTCCCAATATGTCTATATTATGAATATTCCCAAGCCTCAACATGGACTCTTAAAGGGCTCCTTAGAGGGATCTACTGGGCTCCTTAACGGGATCTAGAGGGTTTAGTTTAGGGTTTAGGGTCTACTGGTTTGGGGCGTTCGGGCTTTTTGGGTTTAGAATTTTAAGGCTTAGGGTTTTAGGGTTTAGGGTTGTCGGATATGGGCGCTGTAGGGTACAGAGCTGTAGCGTTTTCGTGCATTTGTTCGGTGGTTAGGGGCTCTTGTTCAGGGATTTAAGTTGTGGGGTTCAGGGTTTAAGACTGTTCGGGTCTAATGGTTCTTCAAGGGGTCTATAGGGCGTCTAGCAGGCTTGATGGGCTTGTGGTTCTATAAAGGTCTGGAAGGGTGTCTCAAGGGTCAAGAGCCTTGTCATAGGGTCTTTGGGCAATGGAGCTCCACAGTTTGTCGTTCAAGGTCCTTGTTCCATGTGTAGGTTTCTTTAGGGTTCAGGGGTTTAGGGTTTAGGGGTTTTGGGTTCCCTAAACCCTAAACCCTAAACGTCTCTGCGATTCCGGCTTAGGGTTCATGGTGCCCAGAGCTTAGATGAAGGGTCTCGGGCCCCGTGATTTTTGAAAGAGACACCGAGACCAAAGCAAAAATTTCAAGAAGCGCAGACCCTCTCTCCCAGGCACTCGATAACCCCAAATCCTGTACCCTAAACCTTAACCCTAAACCCTCACCACAAGCGCAGACCCGAGACAAAACCATCAACACTAAACCCTACACCGCTAAAACGCTAAACCGGCTAAACCCCTAAACTCTAAGCCCCTAAACCGTATCGATCTTTTTATCAATGGGGTCCCTCAAGGAACCCTAAACCCTTACAACCGCCCTTGTCTTTACTTGGAAAATCAGGAGACTTAGTAAGTAAGGTTATATATAAGTACCCCAATTGGGGATATAAGTACTTGTATGTATAGTTACCTTATTTATAACTCTAGTTACTAAGTCCCATGATCCTTTAAGTAACTGTCCAGGAGCTCCACTTGGTCCATGAGCCGCAACAGCCCCGACGGCATCGTCGATCTGAAAATGGGCCAAAACTTCCTGGCATCTTTTTGGTTTTGGGGTTTGGGGTCTTAAAGGTTTAGGGGTTCAGGGTTTGGGGTCTTAGGGTTTAGGGTTTTATGGTTTTGGGGTTTGGGGTCTTAGGGTTTGGGGTTGCAGGGTTTAGGGTCTAGGGTCTGTAAGGGTTCCGTCAGGCTGTTTCGGTTAAGGGATCCACATGGGCTTTTTGATGCTCAGGTTCTATAAAGATTATGTATGAAGTTGTCATGGAAAGGTCCTAAACAGATTTTTGTCGCTAATGATTGCGGGCTTTATCATGCGGCTTTCGTGTCAGACTTTTGTAGCACTTCACACGAGCTTAGGATGCCTACGGATTACGGCATGCATGCCTGCATATACACAAGTACACAACTACTCCAGTACGTACATACATAACGAAATACATACTTACATGCCTACCTAACTACAGACAGTCAGGCAGTTATACAGGCCTACAGCCCAACAGGCATGGTCATAAATATTGACACATACTCAAACGTACAGCCAAACCGACTGACGGACATACAGACCCGCCTACCTACTTACCTGCCTGCTGCCTGCCCGCTGCATACCTGCCTAACCTACCTGCCCCTACCTATTGCCTACCTTCCTGCCTACCTGCATACCTACCTGCCTACCTACTGAACTTGCTTACACATGGGGCAAACATTCCGCACCCCTGCGTCAGCCCTGGGAAGCTCAGCTGTCCTCAAACACGAGTGACAGAATAGCTGCGATAAATCCTGCAAGAGCACAGCCCGAAACTTGTCAGAGGCGGTTGAGGGTCTGCAGGTTGGGGGCTGCCTGAGTTCGGAACAAGAAGGTCTGAGCTCGGGAGTTGCGAATCGCCTAGCTAGAGCCGTGTACATGGCAAGCGGCATAGGCGGCGTAGGCAATGCAGTGTGCAGAGGAGGCGGTCAAGAAGCTCTGCTTCTTCTAGACGGCTAGGGCCAACAAGATCATTCACGACTTGTGAGTGTGTTTGCCAAGAGGCATCGACAATGGCATGGTGGCAATGATGATGGTTCTGGCTGGGTGCTGGCGATAACGGTGGTGGTGATGGTTGAGGTGATGCTGATATTGAAACTTCTGATAGCCGAAAGCCATGCAGGTTTAAACCGCTCGGTCGTTGTTGATGAGGATACTGATGGTGGTGGTGTTGGAGGTGCTGGTGCTGGTGCTGGTGCTGGCGCTGGCGCTCGTGCTGGTGCTGGTCGTGCTCGTGCTGGTGCTGGTCGTGCTCGTGCTGGTCGTGCTCGTGGTGGTGGTGGTGGTGGTGGTGGTGGTGGTGGTGGTGGTGGTGGTGGTGGTGGTGGTGGTGGTGGTGGTGGTGGTGGTGGTGGTGGTGGTGGTGGTGGTGGTGGTGGACGTGGTGCAGGTGCTGATGATGATGATGATGATGATGATGATGCTGATGCTGAGGGCGATGGTGATTGTGATGGCGATTGTGATGGTGATTGTGATTCTGATGATATTGATGATGAGGAGGAGAGGATGGTGATGGTGATGCTGATGCTGGCGATGACGGTTGTGATGATGACGACGACGATGATGTATGATGTAGTTGCTGATGAAAGGAAGGCTGCTGATGCGGTGCAAATCATCCTCAGCTGACAGTGAGGATCGAGATGGCTGGTGGCTTTCGATGGCGAAAGATTGTGGGCCGAGCTGGCGCAGTCAATGGCGACACGTAGGCAAGGCAGCGCGGTTTAGGGTTTAGGGATTAGGGTTTAGGGTCACCCCAGCCTACCACCGGCGACACACTGAGCGGCATGACGGCGGCCGGCGCGCAGCTGGCGACCAGGCCTTTCGCCACACAAGACGAGAGCCTGCATTACCCATAATAAGGAATATGCCATAATTCCCATAGTCTAGGGTAGTTAAGGTAATGCAGGATTTATATACGTTGTAATCTTTGCTGCTACTTTGTTGCCGACGACCACGATGGCGACGGAACAATGTGGAGGACGACATCAACGACGACGAAGAGTGAACCTCTGTTCGTCCTCAACTTGCTCTGATTGCTGGTATCACCGAGACTTGTTGCCCTGGATGCTCTTCGTCCTTCCTATGCTCTTGAAGTGGCCCTAAACCCTAGATCCTGAAGTCGAAAACCTAAGCTCCAAGCACTCACCAAGCCTTACCCAAACTGCACAACCTGCGCCCGCAAGTCTGAACTCGAAACCCTGAGCCCGACTTGCTCCGAAGAGGATGAACTATGAAGACCTACTAGTCGGGTATCATGGGGAACTGAAGGTTCACCCTTTTTTGCTATATAACGATTATATAGGGACAATACTACCCAAAAAAAGTCAAAGGTTACTTACTCTACTACTGAAGAAAAGGGCTGCTCATGAAGCCTGGGACAGAACGGCTTCTGTTGAAGATCGAAAGCCTAAATAGTCCTTCAGCCTGAAAGTAAACTTTGCTAAAACCCAAAACTGCTCCAGAAACACAACTTGACCTGGATCCTTTGGTCGATGTTTAACCTATGCTTACTTAGACTTAGAGAGACCCTGAAGCTTAAACCCGAAACCCTACTCAAAGGATCATGAGACTTAGTAACTAGGGTTATAAATAAGGTAACTATACTTATAACCCCAATTAGGGTACTTATAACCTTACTTACTAAGTCCCCTGATCCTTTAAGTAGTTGAGCACCCAGTTCCCCAACAAACTCGGACTGTGTCTCCCAACAGTTCACTGTGATGTCGGTTGATGGTATAAGAATCCTAGGGTTCCTTTAAAGGGCTCTATCAAGGGTACCTTTAAGGGGTTTCTTTAAGGGATCTATGGGGTTTAGGGTTTAGGGTTGATATAAATCCTGCATTACCCATAACAAGGAATATACCATAATTCCCATAGTTTAGGGTCCTTAAGGTCATGCAGGATTTATATGCTTAAGGTTGTGCGTTGAGGTCTTAGGGTTTAAGGTATAGGGTTTAGGGCTTCTGGGCTTTAGGGTTAAGGGCCTGAGGGTTTAAGGTATAGGGTCTAGGGCCTGAGGGTTTACCATGGGTTTACCCACCGCCGCACGCTGGCCACCAGGAAGCCAGGACGGGGAGACGAGCGCTTATGCTGAGTCCTACAGACCCTGATGGCATAAACACCCCAACTGCTGAACCCTGAACCCTAAACCAAACCCTAAGCACCGGAAAACCTAGCCACGCCTTACTTATACTTACGACGAGTAGCAAAAGCTGCCTCAGTCATGGGGATCAGGCTTAAAAGTATACTGACCCATGAATCAACCAAAGGAGGACTAGAGGACTACCAATTGTTGAAGCTCCCCTGTGAACCTGCCTGCGATGACGGCATTCGTGAGCTCCGGCACCTGCCGATAAGCAGGGCTGCTTCTTGGCGGTCTCTGTTGATAATGATACAGAAACCCTGAAACCTAAGCTCGAAATCCTAATCCCTTTCCGGCTGGGCAGCTCAACTCTTCAAGCTTCAGGGTGAGGGTCCGCCATCTCTGGGTTCCATTTCGGTGCAGTTCTTGGCGAGGCAGTTTAAGGAGCGCCGCGAGCCTCAAGCCTTGTCAACCCTAAACCCTAAACCCCAAACCCTAAACCCCAAACCCTAAACCCTAAACCCTAAACCGTCAAAACCCACAGTTTTGATGTTACAGGAGTGACCTTTTCGTAGGATTCCGCCCGAGCCCTGGGGTTGAACTTAAAGGCAACTGCACCCGGCAGAAGACCCTCTGAAGGCCTCTAGAATGAGGGTTCTATAATGAGGGTTCTATAGTATCTTAAGAATCAAAATGGGGTTTTTCGGGTGGTATATTGTGCAATAATTCTAATCGGAGGCTTCAAAGGGTTCTATAACAGTTACTGTAAGGGGTACGATGAAGGTTTAGTACCGGGGCCTGAATCATAAGGGTACTGCAGCTAAACAGGAACCCCAAAAAACTATTGCACGCAAACCCTCAACAGATATACCCGAAGGCCAACTTTAAGCCCCGAAGCCCGAAACCCTCGACGAGAGACTGGGGCTTAGCGTTTCGGGTGCAGGGCTTCGGATCAACCCCTTGATTCTAGGTGCCTTCATCATTATCATGGGGTTCTGAGGTACACTAGTATTACTCGGTATATATTATACTGCAGCCGTGTTGTGGAACGTATGGACGTAAGCAATACTGTGTTGGAAAGAGGTCTCGATCTATGAAGGCCTTCGTCGGGGTATTATTCAGGGTTTCGGGTTCGGTTCGAGCGCTACTCAAAAATGCGGGTGCATCCAGAACTTTTTCAGCACCCGTTCAACCCGTCACAGAAACACACACTCGCACACACACGCACAACATTAAAATCCACACAAAAACACTAGAATCATTAAACCCACCGAAACCCGAAAGTCCAAAACCGTCAATCAACCTCAAAAGTTAAACCTCTAAACTCTTAAGGTCGCAACCGCCTTTCGGCACAATAGGGAGCTGTATGACTAGTAATCGTAGCCGCTTATCTTTCCTCTAGACGAACACGACTATACAACCAAAAGCCTTGTTCAAAGTCTCTGGAAGCACTTGTTTGCAGAACACTTACAAAACTGTGCTCTGAGTCGAAAGGCCCCCAGATTACCAGGGCTCCGGCACGAACAACGGTCGAGCGAGTGTACAGCATAGAGAAGACCATGCCTGCAGGGAGCCAGGAGCTTTGTTCCAGCCTTGGTTATTTAGGGTCTCAGGTCCACGCTTGCAAAACTCTCTAGAATTTTACACGGGTTATAGGGTGGTTTTTGCGGAAGACACCGATTCAGCGTTCCTTATCATAGCGATCCTGCTATGCGGGCCACCAGCGATTCCGGTCCCTGATTTTCTGAAACTCCGAAATGGCCCGTCAGCAGAATAACCCGGAGATACAAGTAACGTATACACCCTAAACCCTAAACCCTACTTGAAGGCTCATGGGACTTAGTAAGTAAGGTTATTAGTAGGTTATAATTAGGATAACCCCACTTAGGGGACTTATAACCCCAATTATAACCCACTTACTAAGTCCTATGATCCTCTAAGTAGACCCTGAACCTCCCCCATTCGTAGCCTGGAGCCCACACAACTGCAGCAAAAACAGCGAGGGGGGCGGTCGTTTCGTGTAGCTGCTCTAAACCCTCCTTTAAGCTCTCTGTCTAGCTCCGGGGGCCGAATCATACGGGACGGTTTCGGGAAGCCCTGTAATTCCCAACACCCTGAGCCCGAAACCCTAAACCCTGAACTCTTAACCCGACACCCGAAACCCCTAAAAAAACCTAAAACCCCAAAGCCAAATAGATCCCTGAAGGAAACCCTTAAAGAACCCCTAAACCGAAGCCGATCCTCCGACGCCGCCCCCCGCGGCAGCGAGCAGCGTGGTCGCAGACGCATGGGCCACGACGAGGTCCTGCCTGAGTCGGTTTAGGGTTTATAGGGGTTAGGGTTTTAGGGTTTAGGGTTTTAGGGAGTTTTAAGATTTGGGTTTATAGGGTTTAAGATGGGGTGTAGGATTTATAGCATATGGGTTTAGAGGGCTTAAGGTGCCTAAGTTGCCTTGGGCTTTTGGGTGCATGTTCATGTCTGTTTAATGGTCTTGATGTGTTTCCCCCCAGCAGTGATAGGGCTTATCATACGTTGGAAGCAAGAGCGGGTTGGCGGCTTCTCCGCGGCAGCAGTTTCGGCACGGTGCACTTTTCCGACCAAAACCGCGTTCTCGCCAAAGTCCTGTGCGGGCCACGTCCGCAAGCATTTTGGCTTTCAACACGCCGACATGTCCGCAATGTGCCCGGTCACGCTGCCTCTCTGGCTCTTCATCTTGGCCGTTGATTACGGGGGCGCGCACGGCCTTCTGTCGTCTTCGTGCTGCCTGCACTTTCGAAACCCGGTAAACCCTAAACCCTTATAAACCCTAAACCCTAAACTTCTAAACACCCCTAAAGCCCGAGACCCCTAAAGCTCTAAACCCCTAAACCCTAAACCCCTAAACCCTAAACCCTAAACCCTAACCCCTAAACCCTAAACCCTAAACCCTAAACCCTAAACCCTAAACCCCTAAACCCTAAACCCTAAACCCTAAACCCCTAGACCGATAAGCCCCCAAGGCCCTGGCCAAGCTATTGGGCTGAGGCCCTTGCCTTGTAGTCTCCAAGTCACTTCCCGGCTGTTGTCGGCTTAGGGTTTAGGGGTTTAGGGCTTTAGGGGTTTAGGGGTTTAGGGGTTTAGGGTTTAAAGTTTAATGTTAGGTTTGAGGTGAAGGGTTTAGGGTTTAATATGGTTTAGTATTAGGCTTGGGATGCGGGGTTTTGGAGCTCTGCGGTCTTGCACGGTTTGCGTCTCCCGGCTTGGGTCTCAAGTTTCGATTTCCAGCCGAGCCCTCGCGGTTTCGAGCACAAACCTCCTTTGCAGCACCCTCAACGTTTGAGTACTACTTGGACGTACTAAGGGTTCTTAAAGGGCTCCTTAAAGGGATCTAAAGGCTTCCTTAAAGGGATCTATAGGGTTTAGGGTTTAAAGGCCTACTTGGAGGATCAGGGGACTTAGTTAGTAAGGTTGTAAGTCCACTAATTGGGGCTATGAGTACTTATATGTATAGTTACCTTATTTATAGCCTTAGTTACTAAGTCCAATGATTCTTTAAATACTCAACTGCAAACCCATGTAAACCCTACACTGTCCTGAGCCCTGAAGCCCAAAAGCCCCAGCACCCCTAAACCCTAAACCCCTTGTAGCAATATCATAGCATACTGTAGAACATTATACCATCCCAAAGTATATTGTATTATCCTGAGGTGTATACTATACTCCAGTATCTCAGATTAAATTATAGCTGTCATCTATCTTATACTGCACCTTTTTGAACCTAAGCTCTCAACCCTGAACCCGAAACCTCCAAACCCCTGAACCGCAAACCCCTAAGCCCTAAACCCAAACCGCTGAACCCTAAACGGCCCAAAGCGCTCAACCAGGAGTCGACAAGATGGGTTGGAGCTTAGCTTCCTCTGTGGCAAGTTACCGGCCCTGCTTACTTTTTTCTTGTGTTAGCCTTCAAAGCGCAGGGTTTAATTGGGGTTTGGCGTTCAGGGCTACAGTAGAAGCCAGAAAGTTGGAATATCATTATCCTAAACCCTTTAAGGTAAATTATCGGGTATCCTACCCTGAAACCATATTCCAACTTTCTGGAGTTCCCTATACAGGGATCCTTAGGGGCTTCTTAAGGCCTTCTTTAAAGGGATCCTTAGGGGCTTCCTTAAGTCCAACTTTCTGGAGTTCCCTTTAAAGGCTTTAAGGGTGAGGGCTTTTGCGAAGGGCTGTCGGACTGTGAAGAGCCCAGAATGCCCCTCGAAACCAGTTCCCCAAAAGCTTAGTCAAGATTAATATAGGGATAATTAGAATAGGGGTTCCTTCAAAGGGATCCTTAAAGGGTTACTATAAGGGATCTATAAGGGTACTATAGCATAGGGGCGTTAATAAGTAGAATAGGGTTTGGGGGTATATTATACTACAGTTATCATAAGGAGCCCCCAGCGTAGTATTGGCAACTGCAGTAAACCCGACCCCTGCACGATTACTGTAAGACCAAGTTGCCCAAGCGTCGTCTTGAACGTGGAGGCTGGATTGAAGGCTAGAAATCCGACCAACAGGAGGAACGTGCCTGGGCAAAGCCCGGCTCTCAACACCCTAAACCACTGGGGAGTAGGGTTAAGGGTTTAAAGGGAACTCCAGAAAGTTGGAATATGGTTTCAGGGTAGGATACCTTATAATTTACCATAAAAGGTTTAGGATAATCATATTCCAACTTTCTGGCTTTTACTTTAGGGTGTAGGGCTCGAGGCTTCTAGGCTTTGGGGATTAAGTTTTCGGGATCTCATGAACATGTTCATGACCAGTAGATATCGAAGACAGCTTTCAATCTCTCGTGCTTCCAAGCGAAGGGAGAGAGAGAAGGCGAGGAGAGAGAAAGCACAAGGAGAAGGGCCTGGAATTTCAGCGGAATCCTTCGTTCCTCCATTGCTCCATGTCACAAAATCTAGTGCTCCGAAAAAAGCCGCTACAGAACAGACACGCCCATCGTAAGCAAGTACTGTAGGGGCCTTAATATCTATATTTAGTATACAATAACCCTACTAAGGAACCCCCACAATGGTATATTGGTAATTAATTCTTAAGGCCCCCTATACTACATAACAGACACACCCCCACCGTAAGCAATTAAGGGACTTAGTAAGTAGGATATAAGTAGAGTAGATCCCTTCAAGGAGCCCTATAGATCCCTTTAAGGATCCATTTAAGAACCCTTACTACGTCCCCTGCCCCTCCAAGTACGGCCTAAACCCAAGACCCTAAACCCTAATCCCTAAACCCTAAACCCTAATCCCTAAACCCAAAGCCCTAAACCCAAAACCCTAAACCCTAATACCTCTGAAAGCTTCCGAAGAGTCCAAACCCGAAGCTGCCGCGCGTCAACCCCAAACCAGACCCAGGGTGTTAAGATTGAGGGCTTAGGCTTTGGGGTTTAGGGTTTAGGCTTTGGGGTCGGGCTTCGGGAGCATTGAGCCAAGTTTCCGAAAAGCAGCTGGACTGGATGTCGGCATTTCCGGAAAGGAATGAAGACCTTCTTCTCAACTGGCTCCTGGCATAGTGACAGGGCCTGAACAATTCGAACAGGGCTCTGGAGTATATTGTAGTATACTACAACTAGGAACCGGGGGGGTTGTGTTGGCACAGATCCTGGCTTCTACATTAGCAGCAGCATTGCAAGGGGAAGACACAAAAGCACAGCTAAAACTGACCGACTCTCGTAGCCACACACCCCTGAACCCCATGGCTCTGAACATTGCAGGAACGACAGTCAACACGCTAGAGAATGCAGCTGGAATGCTGCACAGCACAGGAAGAATCAGATGTCAACAAATGATAAATGGGTAGTTCTCTAAATTCGGGTCCCTTTTTTAGCTCCGAATACAGTACGGCGCCCTTATAAAAAGGACTCTAGAAGGGACCCAAATCTAGAGAACCACCCTTCTAGTATCCTTAGAGCAACCTTATAGAAACCCTTATAGATCCCTTTCAGAAACCCGAAGAGGCGAATCTAGAGAACTACCCAAATACAACTAGCCCTATACCCCAGAGCAAGAACTCAAGCTGCCAAGCCCATTTGTCAAAAGGGTATGACCTAGAGACTACTGAAGCCCGAATAAAACCGAAACCCTAAAAGCCTACAACCCGGGCAGGCCCACTGAAAATGCCCATTAGCAACCCACACACAACAAAACCTGCGATCCAAATAACCCCAAAACAGCCGGAATCCCAAATCCGACGCACCGACCAAACAAAGCAACCCCTAACCTCCTGGACCCTTAACCCGACAGTGCCCAAAAGAAGGAGCCCTAAGACCCACAACCCTGTTGCATACACTCCAGAGCAACCCTCCTGACAAAACTTGACCCCTCCTGAACCCTAAAGCCTTAACCCCAAGCCCTGAACCCTAAACCCTAAACCCTAAACCCTAAACCCTAAACCCTAAACCCTTAACCCCAAGCCCTGAACCCTGGAAGCCCGACAGCTTCAAGACCATGTTCTGAGATGCTCGTGTTATCATGTTATCAGGATTATGATGGTCATGATGTTATGACGACTATTGTGACGATTATGGCTAGTATAATGGCTGTTACTAGTGTCGTGTGATATTATCCTTGCCGTGAGTAGTATCATGAATAATTGTTGCTTCTACTGCTATTACTGCTCTTGGTCTTGCTGTTGTTGTGGTTCCTGCTGCTACTGTTGCTGCTGCCGCTACCGCTGTTGGTGCTGTTAGTGCTGCACCCTGATTATGTTTACACTGATTATGTATGTATTTACACGTAATTATGCAAACTTACATCATGTGCATATATACTACGTACATACATACGCACATACATAAAATACATACATACCATGCCACACCATATATCAGATATCACATATCATGTAGCATATACCATATACCATATAGCAGATCAGAGATCCATATAACGGCACCCGAGCACTCCTCCGGCTCCCTGTAGTACTCATCGCGGCGCTTCTCTAGGAAGAAGAACTCGGCGGTTTAGAGCTTAGGACTTCGGATTTCGGGTTCAGGTTTCAGGGTTTGGGGGAGTAGGACGGGAAGTCTTTTTTGGTTAGGTTTAGGGCTCAGGGGTTGCATTCTGCTAACATCTCAACCGGAACAGGCTCCTGGAAAACCCCAGGCCCTAGACCTCAAGACCCCTAAACTCAAAACGACCTACTCAAGCCCTGCACCCTAAAAACCATCAAACCCGAGACCCAAACATCAACCGAACCCCCCCCCCCTGGCCCCCCCCTTATTTTTAGTTGTTGGTAATATATTGTTTTTTGCGAGACTCTACTCAAACCCCCAAGAATAAACCCTGAACCCCCAAACCCTACATCCCGAACCCAAACTATACCCTGAACCCTAAACCCTGAACCCCAAACCCTGAATCCTGAACCTACCCTACACCCTACACCCTGAACCCTAAACCCTGAACCCAAAGCCTGAACCCAAAGACCGCCCCTTTCTTGCGAGGCTCTACTCAAACCCGGTACCCCAAACCCTAAATCCTAAACCTAAATTATTCCTTAGAAGGGGCCCCCACCCTGTAATCGTGGTATAATAGGAATATAGTAGTGCCCTAATGTAGTCCTTGTAGTCACTTTTACAGGGTGGGGGCAGCTTCTAAATTATCCCTATATAAACCCTGAACCCTAAAAGCCCGTTCTTGCGAGGCTCACTCCATGGCCGTTTCCATGTGCGGTACGTGGGGAATCGGCCAATGCGAGGTCCCAGGAAGCCTTGACTTAGGGTTTAGGGTTTAGGGGCTCCTGGTACCCAGAGAGCCCAATACCAATTAATTGAGGCATATACCTTACATTTTAAGAGGATTCATACTAGATTTAAGGTATTTTCCTTAATTAAGGGGTAATGGGCTCTCTGGATAAGGGATCTATAGGGTTCAGGGGATTGGATTTTAGGGTCTAGGGTTCCTTTGAAGGATCTCTAGGGTTTAGGCTGTGGGTTTTTTTTGTGTTTGAGTTGCTTGAGCAGTTGTTTTTGGAGTTTTATTGGGTTTTGATCGGGTGTTGCGAGGTGTTAGGGGTTAGAAAGGATTTGGGGCTCAGGGCTTCGGATTTCCGGGTGTCATTGTGGTCTTGGGTGTAAGCTCCTAGTGTGCTGATTAATGTTAGTGTCTTACTATATCTATGTGCCGTTGCGCATGTGTGTATAGATAAGTGGTGTGTTTGTCTGGGCTCGTAGTTGTATGTGTGCTAGGACATATTATATATATATATATGTATGTATACACACAGACACGCACACGTACATGTGCTAACATGGTTGTATGTTATGCTACAGGTGGCTGTCGTGTGAATATGCTCTTGTAGGTGATGTGCCTGGCTTCTTTTGCCGAAGGTGTTTCACGCCAATCAAACTTGCGAAGATGTTGACGCTTTGAACCCGGCGGGGGTCTCGGAACTTGGACCTACTGGAGGGGCAGGGGACTTAGTAAGTAGGAATATAAGCAGTAAGTAGAGTTATAAGTACCCTGAATGGAGTTACCCCAATTATAAGCCTACTTATTATCAACGACTTACTAAGTCCCCTGGCCCTCCAAATAGGCTTTAAGAACCTCATGTGCGTAGACAAACAAAGGCCGCCGGGCCTTAAGTAAAGGCTAGTATTGGCTTGCGGCCCCCGGGTTGAGGTGTCGGGAGTTTACTAACTGGATCATGGCACTTAGTAACTAAGGTTATAGATAAGGTAACTATACTTATAATTACTTATAAACTTAACTATAGGGCACTAATAACCTTACTTAGTAAGTCCCCTGATCCTCCAAGTAGGATCTAGGCCTTTCGTGTGCGCGAGCTTGAAACTCAAATCGCTGTCTGAATCCGAAGAAGTCCTACCAGTCCCATCCGACTGAACCCTAGACGCTAGACCCTGAACCCTAAACCCTAGACCCCAAACCCCAAACGCTAAACCCTATAATCCCTAAACCCTTACACCCCAAACCCTAAACCCCGAACTCGCAACTCTAAGCCGAGGTGCAGGTGGAAACGAGTGCCGAGACGGCGCCTACCTTCACATCGAGTGAGAGGAACAAACGACGAAGTGTCCATGCTGGCACATGTTTTGGGCTTTAGGGTGTAGGGGCATATGGGAGTTTCCGAAAATAAGTGACCCTAATATAGTACCCTAAACAATGGGATCCTTATTATTGGTACCCCAAGGTCCAAGGTAAGGTACCCCGGATTTTCGGAAACTCCCTTATGTCAAACGCATGAGCATCTCTCTCTCTCTCTCTCTCTCTCTCTCGCTCTCTCTCTCTTACTATAAGTACCCTTATAGATCCCTTATAGTAATCCTTCAAGGATCCCTTTGAAGGAACCCCCTATTCTAATTACTCTCTCTCTCTCTCTCTCTCTCTCTCTCTCTCTCTGCTCGCTACGAGTTGAAGGCTGCAGGAGCTAACCATCGTCTTGCTCTTCATCATCGTCGTCATCATCACCACTAGGGCTTAGGGTTTAGGGTTTAAGGACTCACTTTCTTGTGGCTTCAGCTGGCCGGCTGCACATTCGACTTGCCAGCAGTAGCACTGTCACAACCGTCTTCTGCAACGGCTGCTGCTACGGCTGCAGCTGCCCGGAGCGCTACCGACTGCTAGTAAGAGCACCACTACCACCACGACTACGCACGACTAACGACTACGACTACCAAGACAACGACGACTGACTCTACCGCTACTGCTACTGCTACAGCAACAACAACTCGAATTACTTTTTGTGCTGCGACAGCTGTTCCCATCACCAACACTAGTAACACTAGCACCCCTACTGCTACGGCAGTGACGACCCGAACAAATAAAAAATTGTGCCACGATAACTGCTACTCTCACCAACGCTAGTACTTGTACCGGCCGTGCTATGGTCGTAGTAGCAGTAAAAGTTGCAGTGGCAGAGGCAGTGGCAGTAGCAATACCTGTTTCTGTAGCGGCAGTAGCGGTAGTAGGAGTAGTAGGAGTAGTCGGAGTAGCAGTAGGAGTAGCAGTGGTAGTAGGAGCAGTCGTCGTCGTAGTAGTAGCAGCAGTAGTAGTGGTGGTAGTAGGAGCAGCAGTAGAAGCAGCAGTAGCATTAGCAGTAGCAGTGGCAGTAGCAGCAGCAGCAGGAGCAGCAGCAGCAGCAGCAGGAGCAGTAGCCGTAGCGGTAGCGGTAGCCGTAGCCGTAGCCGTAGCAGTAGCAGTAGCAGTAGCAGGAGCAGGAGCAGGAGCAGGAGCAGGAGCAGGAGCAGGAGCAGTAGTAGTAGTAGTAGTAGTAGTAGTAGTAGTAGTAGTAGTAGTAGTAGTAGTAGCAGTAGCAGTAGCAGTAGCAGTAGCAGTAGTAGGAGTAGTAGTAGTAGTAGTAGCAGCAGTAGTAGTAGCAGCAGTAGTAGTAGTAGCAGCAGCAGTAGTAGCGGTAGGATTTACTTAGTAGTGGCTGTTGTAGTCGGCATAGTTGTAGACCCGTAAACCCTAAACCCACAATCAAAGTCCTTGGGCCCCATTAAAAAGCCGGCAGTTGCTCGCCTGGTGCACCACCACTGAGCCCGCGAAGTCCACGAATCCGAGCTCTTGCAGCCAGCCATTGCCCCAGGCGAGGTAGGCACAAATCCTGTGTTGTGGGTTTGATGTGGCTGGGATTTTCAAGATTTTAAATATAGGGGCCTAAATAGTTATCCGTACTGTTTTGGGGCTTCCTTATTATGATGATAGAAGAAGGGGCCCAAAATTTCAAGGCCCCTATAGTACGGTTTCGGATAGTATTTCATGGGCTTGGCATTCTATGTGTCAGGCAAGGGCTTTCCAGTTGCAAAGCCCTCGAGTCTGATTGTCCCCAAGCTTCGGGATAGGTAGGCCTTGCTACGTAGAGCATGAATAATAAAATAGTGGGGACTATGCAAGGATAGTTTCACTAGTGGTCTCGGCATCCATAGTATGGATTGTGTACTGCCCCCATACAGCAACAGTCTATAATAGGGCCACTATTAAGGGACTCATATATCTTTTCTTATAAAGATTATCCAACTGTTACTGAGGGAGGGCAGTACCCAAAGTATGGACTTCTGAACTCCTTTTCCATACGCATGAGAGCCTACGGGCAAAATTCGACTTGGCTGCACCCCCAAACTCTCAACCCTGGCCACCAAAACCCCAAATCGTTCATCTGCAAGGTCTCCTACCCAGAAACATGTCATTGAGGGGTACAACCCCCAAACAAGGCATTCTACCATTCTATGGCTTCAGATAAGCCGTTGTGTTGGGGTTCTATCTGTTGTGATCCTTTCAGTCAAGCAGACTGGGATACATTGCTCTAAGACCCGCAGCCAAGCCAGCGTTAAAATCCTCTACAGTCCGATACTTGCCGTACAGAATCGGTTTCCCATATCAACATTTCTGGTACTCCCATTTGCTGCCAAGCCTTCGACAGATCTGCTGTCGTTCGAAGCTCACCGTGCACATCCTAAACCCTGAACCCTAGATGCTGGAATCCTAAGCTCTACATCCTCAACCCAAAATCCTAAACTCCTAAGCCAACCTCTCTTCAGGGTCATCAGGCAGTGCCAAGAGTCGGATAAAGCAGTCCCGTCATAACGGTTGACAAGACCTCGTGTGCCGAGTACATCTACAAGACCTATACGACCTTTAAAAGCCTCTGTATGCATGTACCGAAATATGCATACATGATCATGTATGTGCGAATACATACATATGCAGTGGGACCGCGTAGAGGGGGAGACTCCAAAAAATCTTCCAGAAAGCTCTGTGCTGTAGACTCTTCTATACCCCCTTAGAACCATAATACAAATATTAGTTTTAAATTCTCTTGGGTTTTACATGAACAATTTTTTAAAGAATAATTCCTAAGGAGACTATAGTCTTTGAGAAGTGGTGACTTGGCAGGCAGGGCCCGGTGCATGGCTTGGGGTCTTTGATAGCCGTTTACAAGTCTACGAAACCCTGGGAGCAAACCAGAGGGCTTTTCGGGTTTTGGGTTTAGGGCTTATAGGGTTTATAGGGTTTATGGGGTTTTATAGGGTTTTATCGGATTTGGAGCTGCTGCTGTGGATCTGGAGTTTAACATCCGGGACCTGTGTGGAAGGACTGTCCGCTCGGCGGATACCCAACACAACTACTTCACCTCCTGTCATGGTCAAGGCAAATCACAAAGCATGGATCAGCAGGGTGAGATCGTGTTGTGTTGGTGGGTCTGCATCAGCATACGACATCGGCACGAATGCCGGCAGACTGGCAGGTGCACAATGAAGAAGACATGAACGAGTGCATGGATCGGAGGAAACCTGGTAGACGGATATATCGAGCCAGGAAGGAAGCCAAAAGCATCGCTGGCAGCTGGATGAACACGCAGACACAGACGGATAGACCGACAGAGCTGAACTTGCAGACAGTCAGTATGGATGTAAACGAGCATGGATGCCACAGGGGGAACCGAATAAGTCAATAACCTAAGATGAACAGAACTGAATGCTCAAGATTTCTACGAGTACAGATTTCCCATGGGATGTACTGCCATGCAGTTCTCTTGGACAAGCGCGGCTCAGTACCGACACAAGGCTTGCGACAGGCACAGCCCAAGCAGCAACTCGTCGTGACAGTAGCAAGCGAATCTTCACTTGCCGTTAGGGTTTAGGGTCAAGGATTTAGGGTGGGTTCAGGGTTTAGTGTTTGCTAGACTGCTAGACAAAGAGCTAAGCTGAACATGAATCCTGCAATGCTCTCTGCGGACTACCGATTCTTGTAGGCGCCTAGTACCCAGCTTCACCCCGAAGGTATACTTGTTCGTCCTCTCACATCGGAGATCTCCACTTTCTTAGGTGACGTATAGAGAAAATGAGAATGCCTGTGATAATATAGGATACACAACTTGTAGCACTATCTCCTTTTGGTTCCCTTTCTGGGTATCGTAAACCATACCCCAGCCCCTACGTAAGGTCTTGTGGAGGTTCAACACCGGATCCCCCGATGTGCGCTGACATGCGACTGCCCCGGCGTAGGACTCCGGCTAAACCTCCGACCGCTAGGTGTCGCTACTTGGGGGACAGCCCTGCTTTTGCAGGATCGGACACAGAGTTGTGTACGTGATGATATTGCAGAAAAACGAAAAGCATCAAGAAATCCCTTCGCCTGAACTTCTGCATAGCCGCCAAGTAGGGGAAGAACGCAACTCGCCCTGCCAGTGCGCCACTGTTGATGGTCGCGGCAGTAGTAGCATAGGAGAACCTCGCATTTAGGGTTTAGGGGGATCGTGTCGGGCCAAACTTGCTTTGCCAGGCAATCCGGGACGCTGCGCGTAACCCCATAGACTGCCGAACCCGGGAACCCCTTACGCAAACCCACCCAAGCCCTAAGCCTAGTCTCATTGTTGGAAAACCGATTCAACTTTACACCCTATACAAACCTTATCAAGCCCAAATTCCATAACCCTTCCCTTGGCTGTAGAAGCCTTACAACTTAAGTACAGAAACTCCTACATACACCCGAAGCCGCAATTACCCCTGAAGAAGAGGCCTTGCCTACCTTGAAGAATGCAACATTTCCGAATCCCACTGTCACGCCCATCCCCGCTGAAGCGGGCACGTGCAGAAAAAGTGAGCGAGATCGGTTCCAGCATCTGCCAGACCTCGGCTTAGTCTTTCGGGCTTCCGTACTTGGAGGATCAGGGGACTTAGCAAGTAAGGTTATAAGTCCCCTAATCGGGGTTATAAGTAATTATAAGTAGACCTCGGCTTCGTCTTTCCTTACCGTTGGTTAGTATAGGGAATGGAAGAATGGTAGTAATAGTAGTTATAATTGTACCCCATTCCTCCATTTACTAACCAAAGGTAAGTTATAGATGCTGGGAAGTTTATATCTCCACAAATCAGTGCCCTTTCATTGTAGTTTGCACAGACTTTTTATAGCTAGCTCGTCGTTAAAACCTGCCTGCCAAGACTTCGACCCCTTCAACCCGCAAGGCTGCAAGCTGGAGCCATGAGCCCACATTTACGCCTTCTAGCGGTGCTACTGCTGCTGCTGCTACGACTACTACGACCTACGACTACGTACGACGACGACTACGACGAAGACGAAGACGACGAGGACCACGGCGACCAAGACGAAGACGACCACCACCACGACGAACACGACGATCGTCATAGGGGTGGTTGTCAAAATTATGCTCCCTTTTTGGGTCCCTATTGTAGTACGGCACCTATTATTTAGGGTACCCAAAAAGGGATCCAAATCTTGACAACTACCCAATAGTGAGACGAGGGTCGCTTTCGTGCTTTCGGGTTGGGTTGGGGGTTTAGGGTGTAGGGGTTTAGAGATTTAAGGTTTAGGCTTGGGGCTGTTTTGAGGTTTTTTGGGCTTTCACGCGCAAAAGGCTTGGTGATTGAAATATTCGGGGCATGGGCTCTGGATTTCGAAAATTAAGAGTACCTTACTTTGGCGTCCTTAGAAGAAGGATCCTACTATTTAGGGTACTATATTTGGGTGCCATGTTTTCCGCAACTCCCATTTATACAGGACTGTCTTGCATCCCTGATCCCCGGAACTTTTGCAGCAATGTCGCCGCTCAGGCTGTGCGTGTCGTGATAGGCGATGTAGTACCCGAATAGGAAGAAGGCCAGTACACCTCGAGGTTTCTCTCGAGCTTTTGGTGCGATGATGGTTTCAGGGCATTTCAACGCCTGTCATTATCTCCAGAGTGGCGGAGAACTGTTAAGAAGAATTCTGCCAACGGCAAACTCGAAATCCATCCTGATTCCAAGTTCTGCTCTGGCAACACTTCACCAGAGACGAGACACCGATGCACAGATCGAGCATGTTCTTCATCATGATGTTCGCTGCGTTGTTCGGCTGCTGATATGCTGACCTCACTCTGTCAGGCCTACGAGTATGCCAGGGTTTGGGGTTGAGTGCGTGTGGGGTGGCCCAAAACGGGAAACCCTCCTCCTACGACTTTTAAAAGCTTAACTCCAAAAATCCAGCCTACGATTGCACTACACCACACAACCCTAAACCTTAAACCCTGCTCTTGCAAAGGACTGCACCGAGATACAAATCCTGCATTACCTTAAGGACCCTAAACTATGCGAATTATGGTATATTCCTTATTATGGGTAATGCAGGATTTAGCACCGACTCACATCCTGGAAACGGTGCCCAGGACGTTGGCAGCGACTTCGGGAGCTGAGAGGCCCCCCGTAGTACGCTGCATGGGAGATTTACGGTTTAGGGATTTAGGTTTTAGGGTTTTTTTGGGGTGGTTTAGGGTTTAGGGATTTAGGTTTTAGGGTTCAGGGTTCGGGGTTTGAGGTTTGGGGTACTCGTATCAACTAAACCCTATAAACCCTAAGACCCTAAAACCCAAAAGACTGTAACATAGTACTGTAACATCAGCCTAGTGCAGGAGCCAACTCCCTCCCTGCAGAACCCACCCGGCTGGATTTCGGAGTTTAGAGGGTTTTGTGCTTGGGGTTCAGGGTTCTGCAGCTTAGGGTTTAGGGTTTGTGTTTAACGTCTTGCATACCAGTGCTGCCACGCGGCTCAAGCATCGCAAATCCGCTCTGCATCTGCACGATGCGCGCGGCGCAGGTCAGCACGAAGCTGGCAGGAGGAGTGTTTCGGAAGTGTTCTCATCTTGTACAAGTTCAACAATCGTGATGACGTCCAAAACTTTTAACACCACAACCCCTAACCGATATTTCAGGAATCCGCAGAATCGGAATAGCACTTGTGGGCATGGTACAGTGGTAGGAGGACGTATCAGCTCACAGAAACGGATCAGGACGAAATGGGGACCAGGTCGGGAGGCACAAATCAAGAAACGCACGAAAGGATCATGAAGGGCCTGGTGGGAGCACTGTATCGGCTCAGGTGTTGACTGCATGAAGTTCTCATACTGGCCATGTGAGATCATGGTGCTGGGGTGTCTCAGTATCTACATGGCAGATGAAGATGACATATGCGGTCCTGGATGAGCCTGATGTATGTCACGCCCTCCTTGGTGTAGGATGAGTCCCGTTGTATGTCACGACCCCCTCAGTCTTGGATGAGTACACTGTATGTTACGCCCCTCAGTCTTGAAACTTGGATGAGTTTATGTCACGCCCTCCTTGGTCTTGGACAATTCCTGCTGTATGTCACGCCCCCCTCGGTCTTAGACGAGTCCTGTTGTATGTCAAGCACTCCTCGACCTTGGATGAGTCCTGGTGTCCTGTCTTATGTCACGCTTTCCTGGTCTTGCACGAATCCTGTTGTATGTCACGGTTCCACTGGACTTGGATAAGCCCTGGTGTATATGCCACGCCCTCCTTGGCCTTGTACAAGTTCGCTGTATGTCACGTCCCCTCAGTCTTGGATGAGTCCTGTTGTATGTCGCCCCCCTCGGAGTTCTGGTGTATGTCACGAGCACCATGCTCAACGGTGTGGTGGTAAGAAGCCGCAGCAGCCCAGGCCGGAAATGCAGCAGCAAAGCGGGAAGCATCGGCTGTATGGCTTTGTATGAAGTGTAAGACTTGAAGTGCAAGAAGTCTGAACACTATGCTTGTGAGCCGATTGGCTTTGTTCCTCTGGACCTTGTGTCAGCCTGATCTGATAGGTCCCATCCCGCGATCCGATTCGCCGAGCCGATTCCTTTCCCTGATTGGGACCCTGCGGCACCTGATACCTGCAGCTTTGATAGTACAGCAGAACTCTAAAGCCTTGCAAGTATTACTTGTTCCGACCTCTGCATTACCAACAGCCTTGGCTAGCCCTAGCCGAAGCACTTGGATTGAAAGCCGGGGTATGGTCGAAGATCGTTGCCACTTCTAGTCTTGAGACTTGCTTGGACGATCATGGTAAGTAAGGTTATAAGTACCCTAGTTGGGGTTATAAGTATTTATAAATCTAGTTACCCTACTTATAAGCCTAGTTGCTAAGTCCCATGATCCTTTAAGTAGGCTCTATTATAAGATTCTTGAACTCAGGCTGTGGGTCCCAAGAGGTCCATGCAATCTATGTGCCTTGAGAATTAGTATGGGGCTTTGGGGCATACTCTACGATGATTACATGGTTACAGCAAGAAACCCTGAGGAATAGTATCAGGTATATATTCAAGCACCCTGAACCCTAAACCCCTGAACCCTAAGGCTCCAGACGAGGCACATGACATCTGCGCGGTGGTGCCCGCGTTCGGCTTTGCACTCGTCACTTGCGTCGAAGGTCATCTCTGCTATCCACCTGCTGGCGCTTAGGGTTTAGGGGTTTAGGGGTTTAGGGCTTAAGCCTTTACCGGGTTTATGGTTGACAGGTTTAGGGTTTAGGGGTTTAGGGGTTTAATGGGGTTTGGGGTTTAAGCCTTTGGGGCTTATGGTTAAGGGGTTTAGGGTTTAGGGTTTACTTGGGTGCTAAACCCACACCCGAGCCCGACTCTAAACTCTGAGCTGTTAGCCCTAAACCCAAACCCTAAACCCTAAACCCCTAAACCCTAAACCCCTAAACCCTAAACCCTAAACCCCAATAGAACCCTCATAGAACCGGGGAAGCCGTTTAGACTTCTCTACAGGTCGCCATTGTGCCGCATATCCGGGAAATGGCGAAGAAGGCTTCGGTTTCTCTTGGGGGTCCGAGAAGGGTTTAGGGTTTAGGGTTTAGGGTTCTCTAAGGGCCCGATAAGGGTTCTATAAGGGCCCTACTTCAACGGGATGCTCCAAGGGTTCAAGGCCTTAAGGCATTACAGTAGAAGCCAGAAAGTTGGAAGATTATTATCGTAACCCCTTTTAGGTAAATTATAGGGGATCCTACCATTTATCCATACTCCAACTTTCTGGAGTTCCCTTTACGGTTTAGGGTTTAGGGTTTGGTAGGGGTCTGAGGCGTTGGGTCAGAGTGGGGTCTAGTCTAGAGGCTAAGGCTGTGAGGGCGTAGGCCTTTAGGGTGAGGTTTCAAGCAAAACACCTTCATGGGAGTTTCCGAAAACTAGGGGTACCTTAGTTTGGTGTCCTTATAATGAAGCTCCTACTATTTAGGGTACTGTATTAGGGTCCCCTATTTTCGGAAACCCCCCAAATTCTGCAGAGCCTACATCGGGCAACATGGAAGACTCCGAACCCCTGAGCACTAGATCCTAAAAACCCGAACCCGAACCTTAAAACCCTAAACCTTAAACCCCTAAACCCTGAACCCCAAGCCACCTCTCATCTGGAAGCAGGCCGGTTAGGTTTAAACCAGCTATAGCCATGGTCACTCGCGCGCCCGGCGTGCCCCGGGGGAGGGCGGCGTGCGCACGGAGGAAGGAAGAAACAGCCCCTTGAGCCCCAAAACAAAGCAGGAGCAGGTAGCAGCAGCAGTGGCAGTGGCAGTGGCAGTGGCAGTGGCAGTGGCAGTGGCAGCGGCAGTGGCAGCGGCAGCGGCAGCGGCAGGGGCAGGGGCAGCGGCAGCGGCAGCGGCAGCGGCAGCGGCAGCGGCAGCGGCAGCGGCAGCGGCAGCGGCAGAGGCAGTGGCAGTGGCAGGAGGAGTCGTCGTCGTAGTAGTTAGTAGTAGTGGTAGCAGTAGTGGTGGTAGTATTGTTGTTGTTGTGTTGATGACGATGATGATGGTGGTGGTGGCGATGGTGATGCTGATGCCGACAATGCTGGTGACGATGGTGATGATCATCATCATGACGAGTGTGATGCTGATTGTTGCTATTACAGCCATGCTTATTATGCTTATTGTTTTTTAGTCTTACTAGAACTAGTATGAGTACGATTGGGATCATTGTTGTTAGTCGTACTACCATTCTTAGGAACAGGTACTATTGTTACTATAGTTGTAGCTATTGATGTAGATGCTGCTGTCTTTTATTGTGGTCATTGTTATTGTTGTTGTTAGTGGAATACTGTTACTGTTTGTGTTCATATTACCACCGTTTTTGCTTATTGTTATCGTTATTGTTAGTGATGTTGTTGTTGTTGTTGTTGTGGTTGTTGTTGTTGTTGCTGTTGTTGTTGTTGTTGTTGTTGTTGTTGCTGTTGTTAGTGTTAATTGCTTTTGAATGTGTTGTTGTTATTGCAATTGTCAGTGTCATTTTGCTGTTACTGCTATCAATATCGTTGTTGCTATTGTTATTGCTATTCTGCTTCGGCTGTTGGGCCTTTGGGGTCTTCTTTACTGAACTTAGACTCCTAGCAAAACTTCTAATTTTGGCAGTTTCTTAAGGATTACAGGAACCAAAAATCAAAACTCATTACAAGTACCCCTAAGTCTTTGGGACGAAAAAGTCTCGGTATAGGAACCTTTAAGGAACCTTAAAGCCCTATAGTACCCTTATTGAACCCTTAAAGGAGCCCTTTAAGGAACCCTCCCTTTGAAAGGAAACACCTGGGGGTGCAGCTGACCTCTGAAGGCATACGGTCGAGCTTTGATCGTTAGGGGGGGAGTCCCAGCAAAGAACTGACCCTAGCATGGAACCCTAACTAGGATTAGGGTTTTGGGGTTTAGGGTTTAGGGTTTAGGGTTTAGGGTTTAGGTTTTAGGGTTTAGGGTTTAGGGTTTAGGGTTCCTTTCAATTCTAAGAACCCCCACACAGAGTGCCCCTTTCTTTTGAAGACTGCAGGACGCCAAAAGGAAGGTGCATCGCAGCATTCTGGCCTTGCTAAGGAACTTTATTTCAGGTTGCCATGGTAACGAGAATGTGCTGTTCGAATTTGGGTAACTCAAACAAAGTTCTGGAAAATCGAACTGGGTAACTGAAACTAAATGAAACTAATATCTTGAAAGAGAACGAGGCATGTGTCTGGTTTCGAAGCAGTGAAAATGTGAAACACTCTGGCCCCTTCAACTTCAACCAAACATTCAAGCCTGAGTACTGG